AAACTTGTGGTCCATTCGAAAATCTTTGTTGATTAGAAAATTGAAAAGAATTCCTTAATTTGTTCATTTGGTTGAAAACCATTTCTTTAAAAACTATTTTGTGAAAATCTTTTGTTTTGAGAATAATGAACAAAATTCTTTGTTTGTTGACATTTTACAATATTCTCTTTGTTTGAGTTTTGAAATTTGGTTTTGAATTGGACTTTGAGATTTGTGGTTGACTTTTTGACAAATCTTTTTGATTCTGAACAGGTGTGTTCTTAACAAAACACTTGTTCTGAGATTTTGTCTAAACATATTTAGACTCAATTATTTCCGACGATTTATTTGACAAAACATTTTGTTTCTTTCGAGATTCAATATTTTGCCAATAAACCTTCTTTCTCGCTTTAGTCATCGAAATTCCATGTTCTTTTGAAATCTTTTCAATTTGTTCTTTAAATTTTTGAACTTTTTGTTTTGACTTTTGAAAAACTGTTTCTTTTGATTGTTTTTCTTATTTTGGTTTGGCAGTTTTAACAACCCAATTTCTTTGAGGTTTTTTTCTTTGAAAAGTGGACGAGTTCTTGTTGAGATTATTTTCGACAGTGCTTTGATTTGAGAAAAATCATTCTTTCGAAGCTTCCTTGTTATCCTCTTCAACAATTTTGTTAATTTCAAGTTTAACTTTATCACCATTTCCTGAGGTAACAAACACATGTTTGGGAAGATAACTTCATCTGAGCATTTGAAGTTAGGATACACAACGTATTCGATTCAAGATAATGAGGACCCTTAAAACATTAATTTATTTAAGTCTTTAAAAATTAATACCTTTTATTGTTTCTTAAAACATTAATTTATTTAAGTCTAGGATCCTAGTAACGAAACAATTAAATGGTTAGGTGACCTTTATCCCATAAACTTAATCAAACTCAGTAGGTAGCGATTACCAATTGCATTCAATATGTAACTCCTAAATTATAGGATCCTAAACAACTGTTGCTTAGCTTGGCATGTTTATCTCATCTATTCCTCGGACCTCTCATGCTTAGGTGACCTTTATCACATAAAATTCCGATCAAGTCATCCTACTTGAAACAACTTGTAGCATTGTAACTAACCAGTAACAAGGTGACCCTTTAGAAACCAGAAACTACAAAACTACCTCGAACATTAAAATCCAATCCTAGAACCAGGTGACCTTGTGACACTAAAACCCTCAAATGATAACGAGTGTTCTTCAAAAGGACGTCAATGACTTGCATTTTTAGAAAAGGTTTTATATATGTTTTACATTTATAGTTTATAAAAACATTGTCTCATGCATATTGCATGCATCCAATAATTCATGTACCCTTTTGTAAAATTCATATCACTTGTTATGAGGTTCTTTAGGTGCCAAATAAAACTTCATTTTATTTGCCATTAAATGCGATTAATTATAAACTAAAATCCGGTATTTTAAAGTTTAGTCGTAGATCGGTTTTAAGAACCGGTAATAGTCTTAATAAAACTTTATTTTATACTTAAGACTTGGATTTTTGGATGAGTTATAAAATTACTATTGTAAATTTCCTTTTAACAATCAAAAAACTTATGACTTCATGAATTTGTAGAATAAACTCATTTTATTTTATAAACTTAATTTTATGCATCTTATGATAAAAGTCATATTTTGATAAACCAAAACTTAGGTGATGATACTTATGTTTTAAATCTCATTTATCATGCATAAAACATAATATCAACATGTTGCGTTATGTTTAAAACATCAATATCATATATTAAGTTTCGACGCAAAAAAAATCACTAGTTTTATTATTTGCCGTTATAACGCTATAAACCGATTTTAGTCTTTTTAATAAAAACTCCTTATTTATTATAAAGACATGAAGTTTATATAATGTTTAAACATATTTTAAACCATTCCAAATATTTTAAAGTTGGGTATTTATAAGTTTTACAATAAAACCATTTTCAACAAAAACTTGGTTTCAATATAGATGTTCATATTTCAACATCGTTAGTACTAGGCTATTGCAGGATAGGTGATCTTAAAGAGGCCTTCCAAGTATTTGATGTAATGTCAAAAAGAGATGGTTGTGGGACAAATGAGGTAACTTTCACCATACTGATTCATGGTCTATGTGAAGCAGGTAAGCTTACAGAAGCATTTGCATTAAAGGAAAAAATGGTCATGAATGGATGTCATCCAAGTACACGTACATATACTATTCTCATGAAAACAATTCTTAGGATCTACTGATAAAGCTATGTATTTACTTGATGAGATGCTCAAGAAAGGAAGTAACCCCAATGCTCATACTTACACAATATTGATCAATGGATTATGCATGGAAGGTAAAATTGAAGAGGCAAATGTAATGTTTAGAAAAATGATCAAAGATGGATTAATTCCAGGCACGATTACTTACAGTGCACTCATCAATGGCTATTGCAAACAAGAACAAGTTGTTTTTGCTTTTGGGCTTCTTGCCATGATGGAAAAAAGAAACAATAGGCCAAATATTCGCACCTTTAATGAACTTATGTAAGGTTTATGTAGAATTGGTAAGCCTTCCAAAGCAATGGCATTATTGAGAAAGATAGTTGACAATGATTTAAGACTCGAGACACTTGTTGGATTAATCGGTTGTTTAAGGGTAATTTGGTTCCATAATTTTCTTTATGCACAATTTGAATAAGGAAATGTAGGATAAGGTAAATTGACTAATTCTTAATGGGCACGTTGGGTTTAAGAATATGGGTCAATCCTTCTACCGGTTCTATAGGTAGCAGTGGCTTAGTAGATAGTATTTTATTGCATGTTTTATGTTGCCACGGTTGCTTATCTGTTGCTAGTTTGTAATCCTATATAAGGCATATCTTTGATTTGATTAAAGTAACCCCAAGAAAAGCACATTCGGTGCACATCGTGAGTTTTGAGTAGTGTGTGTTGTGTGTGTTTTCAAGGACCTGTACCAACAATTGGTATCAGAGTTTAGGGCTCGTGAAGAGGAACAAGGCCGTTTCGAGAGTCGACTTTTGAAGGGGAAAAGCCTTCGGGTGCGGGGATGCCATCACAGCTGAAGCCGAGTGGTTGGCAGTGACTTTTTATTGCGGGGAGAAGAAAACTGAAGGTTTTATCGCACAAAAAGGTTCGAGACAACAGAGGTTGTGAAAGTGTTGTTGTTCGTCAATGGTTAATTAATGGCGGAGAAGGTGTTTCAGTTGGTGGGTTTCTTTGCCGGCTGTCTTTAGTTTTTGGTGGTGTCCGACAAGGTGATGCTTCCGCCGGTAGGTTGTGGGTATGTCATCGGAAAATGGAGAGAGTTACCGGAGATGCGTGAGAAAACGAACAGAAAAGATCCGTCAAAGCAGGTGGCTTTGGGTTTGTTTCGTTTTGCAGGTGAAAGAAGACGGGAAAAGCGGGTTGCTTTGTTTTCTTGATCGGTGGAAGAAGGCTCTCGTTTCAGAGAAGTGTTAGGTGAAAACAGATTATGTGTGGTGACAAACAACAGTCAGATAAGGAGTACTTTGGACGAGACCGAGGTGGAAGTCGGGTGTCCAGGAAAAGTCGGGATTAGGTAATGACTTTGGACGTGACTGAGGTGGAGGTCGGGTGTCCGGGAAAGGTCAAGAATTAAGATGAAAAAAGGGCGATTAAAGGCTGTTTTGAACAAATTGTGTGAACAACCGATTAAGGGGGTAACTGTTGGATTAATCGGTTGTTTAAGGGTAATTCGGGTCCATAATTTTCTTTATGCACAATTTGAATAAGGAAATGTAGGATAAGGTTAATTGACTAATTCTTAATGTGCACGTTGGGTTTAAGAATATGGGTCAATCCTTCTACCGATTCTTTAGGTAGCAGTAACTTAGTAGATAGTATTTTATTACTTGTTTTATGTTGCCACGGTTGCTTATCTGTTGCTAGTTTCTAAGCCTACATAAGGCATATCTTTGATTTAATTAAAGTAACCCCAAGAAAAGCATCTTCGGTGTACTGAGTAGTGTGTGTTGTGTGTGTTTTCAAGGACCTGTACCAACAACACTAACTTATAACATATTAATTGATGGGTTTTGTGAAGAAGGCCAACTTGATATGGCTTTTAGGATTCTAAACTCCATGGATTCACTTCACCTTGAATTTGATGGATAGGGGTGAGCGCGGTGCGGTTATTAGCCAAAACCTCATCACTAACCGCAAATACGGTTAATCCATTTTCAAAACCGCTTGGTGCGGTTATTTTTGCGGTGCAGTTTTGTTTTTTCTATGTTGCGTTCATTAACCGCATGGATTTGGTGCGGTTATTTTGTGTGGTTTTTAACCACAGTTTAGATCTCAAACGGTTTTAAGAGTTCAAACATATTACTTGTAATAAAAAAAACCATAAGGTATAAGACAATTAACTTAAATCACAAACAATTAATATCTTAAAAACGTCAACTCAATAGTAATTAACAATAATTTTTTTAAAATTGTCTAATTTCATCATTTTTCAAAGTTAAACATAACAAAAAACCAACACTTTTGTCTTCTAGTATTTTATTCATCTTTCATTTATGAAACTTGTCGTGTTTTTAATATTTAATATATTAATAAATAATAAAAAAAAGTTGAATATAATATATGCGGTGTGGTGCGGTTTTTTTGCGGTTTTTGAAAACTAATAACCGCACCGCACCGCAAATTTGCGGTTTTTGAAAAACAGAAAACCTCACCATCGGTTTTTATTGCAGTTGCGGTTTTTCGGTTGCGGTTTATCGGTTGCGGTTTATGCGGTTTTTGTGGTTAATTTTAGTTGCGGTGGGGTTTTTGCTCACCTTACTGATGGATTTGCATATACAACACTCATAGATCAGCTTTCCAAAGAAGGAAAAGTGGATCAAGCAAACGGGATCTTGGGTGTAATGATGAAAAAGGGTGTAACTCTTGATGAAGTCACATTTACTGCTCTAGAAATGGGTATTGCAAGAATGGTAAAACAGAAAATGCAGTTTTGCTTTTTAATCGAATGGTCAAACATCTTACTTTGACCAGCCCTCACATTTTTAATTCACTGATTGATGCTTTCAATAAAGATATGAAGGTGGGCTATTCAAATGCTATTTTTGGGAAGATGTTGAAATGTGGCGTGACTCCTTCTGTGGTGACTTACACAATTCTAATTGATGGGTATTTAAGGGAAGGTAATTTTGATCAATCTTTAAAAGTTTTTGAATCAATGAAACTTTGTAATTGTCCTCCAAATGTCTACACATTCACGATTTTCATCGATGCATTATGTCAAAATGGTAGAATGGATGAAGGATTAAAGCTTCTTGAAACCATGCGTGATACGGGTGTATCTCCAAATGTTGTTACTTATACTATATTGATTAAAGCTTATGTTAAATCGGGTGAGTTGGATCATGCATTTGGAATCTTGAATGATATGGTAAAAGACAAGTGTCCACCAAACTTTGAGACTTTTTCTTCATGGCTTGAAGGATTAGTTATCTCCATCAGTGGTAAAACTAAAAATAAAAATGCTTCTTTTACTGTGTTTAAAGAAATGAATGCTACTCATAGCGTTGAGTTTTTACAAAAGGCCAAGAAACATGGTGTTAAGGATTCGGATGTTAATAGTTTCTTGATCATGGGGTTGTATAAAGTGGGACGAATAGTTGAAGGCTATGAATTGGCTCAAGAAATGGTGAGAAATGGCTACTTTCCTGACATTACTTCATGTTCTCAGATTCTTGAACACTTGTGTCACGAAGGGAAATATGATGATTGTGTAGTGTGGATGAAGATGATGTTTGATCATGGGCCTATGCCATCTTTTGAATCATGTTGTTGTTTATTTCATGGTCTTCGAAAGGAAGGGAAGATTCGGGAAATGCAAGATTTGATGTCTGATCTTTTGTGGAAAGCTGGTGTTGAGGACAAAGATGGAGTTTTATCATACATGGAATCTTTGTTACATTGTGATGAACATGATGAATGCCTTGAGCTTCTAAAAGTTGTTGAAGAACTTAACCATCAAGAGAGACCAATAATCTAACTAGATAGAAGAACAGGGCCCACTTGATGTAATCGATAATATCAATAGACATTTTATTTGATTGCTCTCATATTACAAATCTTTATGCATTTATTTACATAATCTAAAAGCATAGAGCATAATTTAGATGCATATAGACGAGGTTAAATTCAAACCATCAGTCGTGCTATTGCTAAAGTGTCTTCAAATCCCTAACCAAATCTGTAATATACTTATTCTGTATCTCGTCATTCTGCAAAAACCCCTTCCATTTCTTGTGATTTTCCCTTATTGGTTCTTTTTCAGTCTCTATCATAACACTCTTCACAGCTTCAAACACATCTTCTTTCCCAAAATACCCATCTTCGTCTCTCCTATTTACCTCAACTCCTACCTTCCAATCCATCGCCATTAACTTAGAGTTCATGAACTGGTCACCCTTCAATGGCAGCATCACCAATTGACAGTCGTTTACCAGAGCTTCGATCACAGAGCTGAAACCAGCATGACAGACATAACACCCAACACTTTCGTGAGCAAGAATATGTCGTTGTTGCACCCACCCTGAGTGCACCACTCCTTTACCCTTCACCCTCTCCATGAACCCAAGAGGTAGGGTTCTTCTCAGTTCCACAGAGCTGTCGAGATTCGCCGGAAAATTCAACACCAGGAAGAAAGGAAGACCGGTGAGTTCTAACCCTAAAGCTAATTCTGTAATCTGATCATCTGTTAGAAAAGTTTCACTGCCGAAAGAGCAGTAGATTACGGATCTGGCCGGGAAGTGGGTCAACCAGTTGGTCCACGTCTGGTCCAGTTCGCCGGAATGTGGCTCGGGAACCACCGGACCGATTAGAAGAAGTGGTCTGTTGACCTGTTTGGTTATATAATCTAGGTAAGGTCCTTCCATTTCTGTACATGACTTCATGAGTATAGCGTCGCATCCATTAAAGCATTTTATCAAACGGTCAAATACGCTTGGAGTACCATGGAAGCTCGTGAAGATGTAAAGAAAATCCGAAGCCTCAAAAGTTCCGAGACCGATGGTTCCCGGGAACCCCGGTGGAGGATTCTTGACTTCTTCTATAGTCGGTGGTATATTCCGGCCGATATAGGCGGTGACAAACGCGATGGCGATCCCCAAAAAAACCGAGAAACAGACGGATTTAATGCCGAGCTCAGTCGCGATTGGTGGCAGCCACGATTGCGCAAAGTCGAAGATTACGAAATGAGGTTTGAGATGTGTAAGTAAGTTCTTGATCTGGGGTTGCATGAGGTCTAAGGCGACTTTGAGGAGTTCAACGGTGGCTGGGGAGGTGTCGGCGGTGTTCTCCACTCCTTCAGGGAGGCCGTCAACATGAGGGAGAGTGAGAGGGATGATTTGAGTGGCGGCGGTGCGGTTGAGCATGGTTTCTATACGCCGGACATTGGCGGAAGCAGCCAAGAAGGAAATCCTGATACCAGAATAAGAGGATAACTTATTGGAAAGCTGTACAAAGGGACTTATGTGACCAAAAGCCAGAAAAGGAAACATCACTAAGTGGAGCTCATTACTGTTTTCATCAGTTGACATCTTCCTTTGCATCAAGAAGTGGTTTTTGATCTGTTTGTTTAAACTTTAAAGGTTCCTTTAGAGCTTCGATACCTCTGCATGACTTTATGACAATATATATATATATATATATATATATATATATATATATATATATATATATATATATATATATATATATATATATATATATATATATATATATATAATATAACCCATTCCTACTATATAAGCATCTTGTAATCAATGAAACTGTATGAAAGAAAGCCACGTCCTTGGGGAAGAGCATGAATGCGTTATCGTACTGGATTGTAACTCCAACACATGTCATTCGAGTCGAGGTGTCAAAATCATGGTTGTTAAAACTTTAAATTTTAAACATATGTTTTTCTTAGAATGGCAATGCAATATATACAAGAACCTACGAGCATACAATGTACATATACAATAAAGAGTGAATTAAAAGAAGAACACCTACAATAAAGAGTGAATTAAAAGCCTACTTGAGTTTAACAAAAGAAACGAAAAGAAGAGAAAAAAAAAAGTCAGAAGACAAAGAAAAGCAAAACAAATTTTTTTTTTGTTTTTCCGAGTTGGAGAAAAATGGAAGAAAAATTAAGGGTGCGTTTGGTTGTGGAAAATTATTTTCATTTTCTAATAAATTGTTTTCAGAAAATAGAATTGAATTTTCATTTTCAAATTTCAATAAAAATTTTAGAAAACGCGTTTGGTTGAAACCGATGAGTTTTTATTTTCTATCTTAGAAATTTGGAAAACTTTGGAAAACTGTAAAAATCACTTATGTAATTTACATACAATTTGGAAAACTGAAAATTTTCATTTTTTTGGAAAATTTTGCAAAACTAAACGAACCAAATGCATTTTCAAAATTTCCGTTTTTCTTGGAAAATTTTCCAAGAAAACTAGAAAATTTTCCACAACCAAACGCACCCTTAGGGTGCGTTTGGTTGTTGAAAATTGTTTTCATTTTCTAAGAAAATGTTTTCAAAAAATAGAGTTGAATTTTCATTTTTAGTTTTCAATGAAAATGCGTTTGGTTGGAACCGGTGGAGTTTTCATTTTTCATCTTAGAAATTTGGAAAACTTTGGAAAACTGTAAAAATCACTTTTCTAGTTTACATACAATTTGGAAAACTTAGAAAACTTTGGAAAATTGAACGAACCAAACGCGTTTTCAAAATTTCCGTTTTTCTTGGAACATTTTCCTACAAAACTGGAAAATTTTCCAAAACCAAACGCACCCTTAATCATTTTGTTCTTTCTTTGCAGAAATGTGTTGCGGCCATTCGTTTGATGGCTATGGGGGAGTCACCCGACACCATGGACGACTATATGAGAATGTCTGAAAGAACCCCTTAGGGTGCGTTTGGTTGTTGAAAACTGTTTTCATTTTCTAAGAAAATGTTTTCAGAAAATAGAGTTGAGTTTTCATTTTTAGTTTTCAATGAAAATGCGTTTGGTTGGAACCGGTGGAGTTTTCATTTTCCATCTTAGAAATTTGGAAAACTTTGGAAAACTGTAAAAATCACTTTTCTAGTTTACATACAATTTGGAAAACTGAATATTTTCATTTTCTTAGAAAATTTTGGAAAATTGAACGAACCAAACGCGTTTTCAAAATTTCCGTTTTTCTTGGAAAATTTTCCTAGAAAACTGAAAAATTTTCCACAACCAAACGCACCCTTAATCATTTTGTTCTTTCTTTCCAAATCCTCCCAAATCGGAAGGAAAATTTGGAAGGAAAGTGATCCTTCCATTTCCTACAACTTCCTTCCTTTAAGACTATGCGGTATGGGCCAAACGAGAAGAAACGGGGATGAGGTGGCACGTCTCAACGGCGTCGTGACGGGGGGAACACCGCCCCCCTACTCGTTTTTGCTCGTCGAGGTTGCATCTCGTTGCCGTCGCGACTGGATGAAACGCACAAAATTTAAACGTTTTCAAACGTTTAAATGGCAACGGTATAAAAAAATTAACTATTAAAAAAAATCATTTACCCTATAAATACCTACTATTGTATAAAAAATTTCACACGATTTCTCTTCTCCTTTCTACATAGTTTCAATTCTTCAAAAAAAATATGGACCCTTTCGACTCGTCCGATGATTCAGATGACGATATTTTCTTCAGAATGATGTATCATTATTACACTACCGACCTGCTACAACCAGACTCAGCCCCGCTACTAACAAGACGTGCGATGTTAAACAGAAATCGCGAGGAAGGACACGAACATCTATATCGCGATTACTTTGCGGATAATTGTGTATACGGGGCGAAGGACTTCAAAAGAAGATTTTGTTTGAGTAGGGATGTGTTCTTACGAATCGCCAACGCCTTGGAAAGCCGGTATCGCTTCTTTACTATACTTTTATACAAAATAAATAAAAATGTACTACATGTTTCTTTAATTTTACAACATATGCAATATATTTTTAAACTGTAGTTAATTTATGTTTAGGTACGAATTTTTTCAATTAAGATATGATGCTAGAGGTAGACGAGGGTTTACAACGTTGCAGAAATGTGTTGCGGCCATTCGTTTGATGGCTATAGGGGAGTCACCCGACACCATGGACGACTATATGAGAATGTCCGAAAGAACCGCAAGGGAGAGTTTGTAGACATTGTCAAGGGGTGTTGTTGAAACATTTGGAGACGTGTATTTGCGGAAACCTTCGTTGCATGATTTGCAAGAATTGTATGCGGCGCATGAAGAACGCCATGGGTTTCCCGGAATGATCGGAAGCATTGATTGCACACACTGGAAATGGAAAAATTGTCCGGTAGCATGGAAAGGGCAATACGCAAGTGGCCATCACAGATCACCTTCGTTGGTTTTAGAGGCTGTTGCTTCTCAAGATTTATGGATTTGGCATGCATTTTTTGGGGTTGTGAGTTCCAACAACGACGTCAACGTTATTGATCAGTCGCCAATATTCGACGATCTTTTGAATGGAAAGGCCCCGGATGCTCCTTTCACGGTGAATGGAAACGAATACAAATATGGGTATTACCTTACAGATGGAATATATCCTCATTATTTCACATTCGTGAAGGCATTCCGCCACCCGGTTGAAGAACGAGACAATTTTTTTAAGAGAAGACAAGAAGGAGCACGTAAGGATGTGGAACGTGCTTTTGGAGTGCTGAAGGCGAAGTGGCATACAGTCGAACATGCAGCACGACCATTGGATTTAGAAACTCTACGATATATCATGTATGCATGTATCATAATGCATAACATGGTAGTAGAAGATAAAGGGCGAAATATTGCACACTATATCCCAACGGAGCCCAGACACGTTCAGTTTCAACTAGGAACAACAGATTATTTGCATCGCGTTGTTGACATTCAGGACGCAAATAAACACAGACAACTTCGAGAGGACTTGGCGGATTATATCTTCTATGGTAACAATAACGATAACGAATAGCGTTGTATTTTTTTTTTTGAATTTGGATGTTATTTCTTTTTTTGTTTTTGGATGTTATGTGTAATTTAATCTCTATGTTAATTTTAATCTTTAAAAATTATTATATGTTATTTATAATTTTTAAACATTATGTTTTATTTATTATGTTATATTTAAAAAATATTTGTCTAAATTAAAAAAAAAAGGAATTCGGAAAAAAATAAAAAATAAATTATAAAATGGAAAAAAAAGTTGGTGTCATAACAAGATACAACATGGTGACCATTTCCCCACTTGATGTGGCGTGTGATATGACACCAAAATGGTGTTTCATCTAGTTGCCCACACCTAGTGCTCTAATGAAACTTGGGAACACAAATTTCTTTTATTTTCTTCTCATTTCCATCTATTTTTTTTCTCTCGTTAAGTTAAACTCAGGAACTGGGTGTAAAAGAAGAACACCCAAAGAAACTAATTAATACAAGACCCACAAAATTAAGCCAACTAAAACTGTTAATAAATACCAAACATCATTATAATTATTTTTGAAGGCTTGAAGCATAATTATATTTCTATTTCTCTCATATGTTAGTATAAAGCTCGAGTTGGACTCAATTCCCTTAAACAACCGTCTATTCCCAGGGTACAACAACCTAAACAGTATTGTGTACTGCCGGATATCACCACTTGCCTAGCGCGAGCCCGAGTTTATGGAGCTGCATTCGTGTCCGCAGGTCGCGCCCATGCACGAGTTCGGTGTTTTTGGTCTACGGAATCAAGATTTGTACCCCCCCTGCGCGCGGGTTGGAATTGTAGCATAACCATAGACACAGGCTTGTAAACCTTCCATGCAATGAAGCTTATAAACCTTGTTGAGTTTGGTCTTTCTACCAATGTGGGACTCATTCTCACATTCCTCTCTTTTGCTAAACTTATTCTCAAATACCCATCTTTGAGTATCGATATCTCATTCATTTATACTCTATTTTGGACATATAATATATCGTTTCGAAGTCCTCATGGAGGAGAACACAAACCCACTTAGAGTTCGTTATATATACAACATATGTATATATTTATATATGTCCAAAGTTAGTAAAAATATAAATATTTATACTAAATTTCCAACACGACACTTATAAATGAAGTTACTATATTTCTATTAAAAATATGTAAATATATAGGTTTTCATGTTCCATTACTAGGTTTATATTGAAAAAGTTTACTAATAATAATCTAATATTGGAAAAGTTTAACTATTAGTTTTTTAATTGTCAAAATCCCTACCACTAATCTTCTCCGGGCACTCCGTCGATTTGCAATTAATCTACATTTGTTGTCTTTCTCAAAAAAAAAAAAAAGGGGGGGGGGGGGGGGGGGGGGGGGGGGGGGGGGGGGGGGAAGGGGTTAAAAAAAGCAATACGAAAACAAACTATAAATAGCGTTTTTTGTCTTCTTTTTTACATTAAAAAGCCGCTATGTTTACAAACACATTGTTTCGTCATTAAAGCTAGTGAGGGTAAAGGCTAAGGTGAATCAGTAACATATGCATCAAATGCAAGATTAAAAAGAAAAGTAGAAACA